CCCCCCTCCTTCCTCCCTCGACCCATTCTCCAACCTTCACTCCTGCACGCTCTGACACGCACACGGTTCACATGTCGCGATATGCCTATGTTATCTTCCGTTTTTCTTTTGGCATTTGTTTTGTTTTGTACCCCACAGGTAATGGGAAGGCTTACATCGGTATGTATATTATAAAACCACATAGGGCTTAAAGCAAAGAAACAGATCTGGGTAAGTTTTGAAGTTTCGTGGAAAGAAAAGGAATCAACGAGGAAGTTCTGAAAGAAATCCACGTCGGCCGCTCTCTCATAAGAACAATCAGGAAGCAACAAATACATTTTCTGGGACACTTGAATTGACATGAAGGCCTTGAACGTCTAGTTCTCCTAAAAAAAAAAAAGAATTGAAGACAAATAGGCCAGGGGTAGAACAGAGAATAATCATTTGTGTCGCGACCACAGAATTCTACACTTAAATTCTGTGGTCGCGACATGGTAGAATCAGGCGATCGTCAGTTTTGGACATGAGGAGTTATTCTATGAAAATAATACCATCTATCTTGAATAGAAATTGAGATATTTGCTTTTATAGAAGGAAGGGGTCGCCAGGTTTCAGACGTAAAATTAGCGAGAAAATGGCCGCCAAAGTTTGGTGACTTCCAAAGCTTGAGAGTTCTTGAAAACAGCAAATTTACTTGTTTATGACCTCGATAAACCTTTTGACATAAAAGTTGTTAAGCCCAAAAAAGAAAGGAAAAACAAATCAATTAAGACTGCCAAACGTGCAGGAAAAAGCCGATTTCATGAATTTGACGAGAGCCTGATTTCATCACGATGCCTCACATTTGGAAAACTTGAATAGATGGGTGGGAGGGAACACGAGGATAATATGTAGATACAGTATAACACAGGTAGCTCAAATTCGTCATGACCGGCCTCAGTAGTTCGAGAGATATCTTACAAAGGTAAAGAAGAAAAAACCCAAAAACAAAAAACAAACAAACAAAGAAACAAACAAAGCAAACGGGACAGCAGGCACAGTTCGACAGATGCGTGATTTTGAGTCTTGTCCATTCGACCTATCCGTGTTGTACTACATGTGTATATTAATTTGAGAGCGTCCGAGCGGAGGAATGAAGAGAGAACCATGATCGCCGATTTCCGTTCCGTATCTGGCTGTATATGACGATGATGCTGTGTGGGAAGATTTTTACGAAGAGGCCCTCGTGGCCTAGAGGTTACAGTGTTCGCTTCTCATTCAATAGGTCCCGGGTTCGAAACCTAACAGCGACGAAAAATTTTGCATGTTGCACACGTTTAAGATCCTTTGGTGGTCCAGAATCGGTAAGTGTAGGCTTCGGCCTCCACTCGGGCAAAATTCAAAAATAATTCCTACCTACTGAAAGTGTTTAATATGTCCTTATGTAGTTGCGAGCGCTGTAAAACACTAAACAAAAATATAAAAAAGCTGATGTTTGTACAGCGTAAATTCCCACTCCACAGCAAGTTTTATGCGCTTTACAATCTTAATTATTATCCCAACAGGCCTGATAACATTCTTAAACAGTCTTACATTTCTGGGGAGCGTACAGCATAGGCTGCATGCTATTTTACAGGCACTAAAACACTAGAATAATAAATAATAATAAACCAATAAGATCCCACTTGGGTGAAGTGAAGCAAATACATTACGTAAAGTGTCTTTCCCAAGGACACACCGTCTGGCCTGAGGCTCAAACCCCCGAACCCGCAACCTCACGATTACGAACCCGGTAGCCTAACCACACACACACACACACACACACACACACACACACACACACACACACACGCACACACGCACACACACACGCACACGCACACGCAC